TGGTTTGCTGGGCGCCGCCATCTTGTTTTGATGAAAAAGTGCTTCCGGTTAGCTTTTCCGGGTAGAAAGCTCACCGGAAGCACTTTTTCATCAAAACAAGATGGCGGCGCCCAGCTGATGCCAGTACCGGGCCGCGGCATAAAAAAGGTTGGGGATCACTGCAGTAGAAGATAACATTACAACCGCAACTTTTTACTTTTACACAACAGTAGGTACAAGCCATTTGAACAACAATGAACCTATCTAATTAGGTTTGATTTTTGATAAAAAATCCAACTTTCATTTTTTTTCCCCATTGCCATTTCCCAAATCCCGAAACAATTTCAAAATGAAAAAAAAAGTGACTTATGACCATTTTTCACAGTTGTGACCTTTGCAGCATGACCACGTGATCAAAATTCAGACCCTTTGAAAACAGGCATATACACACCCCTCTTATGTACTAAGGCGAGCTCACCCACAACGTTGTGTAGACTGGTGAGCAAGGAGACTTATACGCTAGATTGCGATGAATATAAATTTGAACGGTGCAATACAGATAGTCCTCACTTACTGACCATAACAGGGGCCGGGAACGCCATCAGTAAGGGATATAATCAAAGGCATCAGGTTATGTGACCATGCTGATTTATGACAGCATTTACGGGTGGCATACAAGCTTAATATATATAATTTTAATTATGTGTTATTATGTCTCATTTCATTATAATTATTAGCATAATAATTATTAATCATCATAAACTATTATTTGCAGATCCCGGGGGCCACTTTAGAGCTTCCTGGTTACGTTATTCAAGCTAAGATTTAACATAATTTATGACTCCAACCATGATGTTTTTGGGAGGGGTTTTTGGGTGGGGAGTCAAGATGCCACTTTGTCCAAAGGCGTCTGTTGTTTCCAAATTGCTGGCGTTGGCTAATTCTCTCCGTCACCCATTTCCTCTCCTCAGGATGGTTCATGCAATGGGCTTCAGCACTACGCTGCGCTTGGGCGCGACGTGCTTGGTGCCTACTCCGTCAATCTCGCCCCGTCTGAAGTTCCTCAGGACGTCTACACTTCAGTGGCTCACCAGGTGAGGCTGTGGCTGCGTGGGAAAAGCTGCTGGCATAAGCACCTTAGTCCTTCTTTCATCCTAATCCTACTTTAAACTTGCATCCAACCCCTTCTTTCATCCTAACCCTACATTAAACTTTGCACAGACCCCTTCTTTCGTCCTAACCCTACATTAAATTTCCATCCGACCCCTCCTTTCATCCTAACCCTACATTAAACTTCTGAAGAGCCCGACAGCAGCAGTATGTACAGGTATTCCTTTCTGCATCTTGCAGAAAGACTAGAAAGAGGTATGGAACCTCCATGATCAGGAATGGTTTATCTCCAAAATAGCAGGCTGTTGTAATATATTGTAATATGTTGTAACAGCAATGGCCTTTGAGTTTTTTGAAACTTTCTGGAATTAAATATCCATAGCACAATTGAAACAGGTCTATTTTGGTGGTTCACGCATTGCCTCTGTCGCCCTACTGTTGACAAATGCTTGAGCAGCGGGTTGGACTAGAAGACCTCGGAGGTCCCATCCAACTCTGTTATTCAAACAGAGCTCCTGGAATGAATCTATTTTTCTGGAGCCCCTCTAGGATTTCATCTCATTGGTGATACCACCAATGAGCTCAATGATGGCTAACCTTTTGGGCTCCTGTGCCAAAAATTGTGTGCGTGCTTGCACACGCACACTTGCGTGCCAGCACCCAGAAGGCAATGTGCCCCCTACGCATGCAATCCCCACTGCCCCATTACCTGCACTGTCCCTCACAGCTGATTTTCAGCCGGTTCGAGGCCTTTTTCAGCCTCCCAGAGGCTTCTGCAGGCATTGCAGGCTGAAAACTAGCCCTGTTTTGTCACTTCCGGTATTTTCGGAAAAACAGGAAATGATGAAACAGGGCTAGTTTTCGGCCTGCAAAGCCTGCAGAAGCCTTCCTCAAACCTTTGGGAGGCCGTAAAAGGCCTCAAACCGGCCAAAAATCAGCTGTGAGGCGTGTACATGTGCAGTGAGGTAAGTTTGCCTGCAGCTCGTGTGCCGGCACAAATGGCTGTGCGTGCCACCTGTGGCATGCGTGCCATAGATCCGCCATCAGGGAACTAGCTAAATAGAACAGTCTTTTATTACCTTTCCATGCCTGCTCCCTCACACAACATAGCTAACTAGGAAAGAGCTAACCTCAAACAGTCTTAAGGACTGATTTGGATTCTGTAAAGGTACGTTATTCTCTCTTTCCTGTTCTACCCACTTGTAAAATAGACCTGTTTTGTAAAAGACCATTACGACAATGGACAGGACATTATGATTGTACAGGTAGTCCTCGACTTACGACCACAATGGAGCCCGAAATTTCTGCTACAGGGACATTCCTTGAGTGAGTTTTGCCCCATTTTGATCTTCCTTGCCATCGTTGTTAAGCGAATCGCTATAGTTGTTAAATTAGTAGCCCAGTTGTTAAGTGAATCTGGCTTCCCCACTGACTTTGCTTGCCAGAAAGTGAGCACATGACGCTGCAACCATCATAAGTATGAGTCAGTTGTCAAGGTTCTGAATTTTGATCCTGTGACCCATGGGGATGCTGCAATGGTCGTAAATGTGAAAAATGGTCCTAAGTCACTTTTTTCAATGACATAACTTTGAACGGTCACTAAACGAACTGTTGCAAGTCGAGGACTACCGGTATATCGAGAATTACTTGTGCTTATATATATTAAATGGCTCGATACCTGTGCTTTGCTATGGATCTATGTGGTCGAGCTTAGTTTTGGCGGAGGAAAATACAAGGTGGAAATTCGGCCTCTGCCTACCAGCATCCATCGGTATTCATCTGGCTAGCATCCTGTCAGTGTGTGAGAGAGTTGAGGGCTATTTGGAAAGTGAAATAGTATTAGCTGTGTGAGCAAGGAGGAGACAGCAAGGAGCCTGGGCGTGGCTTAGCTCAACTGGTCTATACTAAAGCTGCTTGGTGCTGTGAAACTGAAACTGAAACTGAACTTCCTCTCCTCTGCTTGTGTTTTGCATTTGGAACAGATTTCTTTTCAGGTGGGGAGGGCGAGTAGAACTCCTTAGCATCAGAGCGTGTTAATAATAACATAGGAAATACTAATGCTCTGATGATCATTTTGACAAATCCTTTCTTAGTAAGCATCTAGAAGCCAAGAGGAACGTGCCAAATTTCAAATTTGTAGGCTTTACAGTTCTGGAGATTTTGTGATGATGCATGAATGGTATTTTGCTTTTATATACAGTATATAGATATAAAGGTGTATATGTCTATCTATATCTATCTATCTATCTATCTATCTATCTATCTATCTATCTATCTATCTATCTATCATCTATCTATCTATCTATCTATCTATCTATCTATCTATCTATCTATCTATCTATCTATCCATCCATCCATCCATCCATCCATCCATCCATCCATCCATCCATAAGGGACCAGCTACAACAATTGAGCCTCCTTTGTGCTTGTGGGGCATTGCTTCAGCCAACGCAAGAATCACAGTCCCTGGTCCTCCGAGCCTGCTTAGAAGCATCTCCCCTTTTATCCTCCTGCTACCATTTTATCCTCCTTGCTTTCCCCCAATGCAGGTGGAGATAGCTCGGAAGGAAGATGCAGCAAATGGAATCAAAATTGCTCGGGTCCTGGATGGCTATGTAACTCGGAAGGTGGTGAAGCAGACTGTAATGACGGTTGTGTATGGAGTCACCCAATATGGGGGGCGCCTCCAGATAGAAAAACAGCTCAAGGAGATTGAAGACTTCCCAAAGGTGACTTTTCTTCTCTCCCCCCCACTTTCTCCCCCCACTTAAAACAAATATTAACAAAGCCCAGTATATAAGCATATCATGTGAACACAGCCAATTTATTCCTTTTACTTTCCGAACCATTCTTTTTTAAAATTTCCCACTGAAGTTGTGGGCCACTGCTGTAGATTGTCTGGAGAGGGTGTTCTTAAATTGCCTGGTGGACGGTTGGTTTTAAAAGATTAGATCAGAGGTGGGGGAACTATGACCCCTTGATGACTTGTGGACTTTTAACTCCCAGAATTCCTGAGCCAGCCTTATCCTTCGATTAGCTAGGCCGAGGTTTTGAGACTGCCGTGGTGGCGCAGGGATTAGAATGCAGAATTGCAGGCTGACTCTGTTCCACTGCCAGGAGTTCGATCCCGATTGGATCAAGACTGACTCAGCCTTCCATCCTTCCGAGGTTGGTAAAACGAGGACCCAGATTGTTGGAGGCGAGATGCTGACTCTGCAAACAGCTTAGAGAGGGGCTGTAAAGCGCCGTGAAGCGGAATATAAGTCTACGTGCTCTATCTATTGCATCGCCTGTCTACGGTTCTTATGGAATCTTTCCCCCCTGTTTCTAGGAGGATGTTTGGCAGGCTTCAAAGTATCTCGTCCAGCGAGTCTTTCAAAGCCTTACCAAAATGTTTTCCGGGTCTCGGGAAATTCAGGTAAAACTCATGATTTGCAATTTAAAAGAACTTCCTTGCTCTTATTTATTTTTTTCTCTCTCTTGTAATCTCATGCTCCCTGACCTGGTGCAAGCGCCATGTTAAAATAATTAATAGTTTAATGCTGGTAGCCCTTAACTTACAACCATTCATTTAGTGATTGTTGTAAGTTACTAAAGCACTGGAAAAAAGTAACTAATGGTTGTTTTACACACTTACGGCTGTTGCAGAATCCCCTTGGTCATGTGATCAAAATTCAGATGCTCGGCAACTGGCAAGTACTTACGACCATTGCAGGGTCCCCGGGGCCACATGATCCCGTTTTGCGACCTTCTGACAAGCAAAGTCAATTGGGAAGACGGATTCACTTAACGACCTTGTTACTAAACAACTGCAGTGATTCACTTAACAACTGTGGCAAGAAAGATCGTAAAATGGGCCAAAACTTAACAACCGTCCTGCTTAGCAGCTGAAATTTTGACCTTAATTTGTGGTTGAGAGTCGAGGACTATCTGTATTTAATAAATCAAAATCTGTTGGTTTTGCAGAAACTACTAGCAAGAGGGGGACCAATTTGGGGGGGGATCATGGGTTGCATTTATTGTGGGGGCCCAGTAGTGAGGTAATGATAAGAGTAGTCAGAATTTATGTTTTGTGGGGGATAGACAGTTGGGTAGAGTTGTTTACTTATTGTTATGTGATTTTTAATCCTGCCTTTGTTATTGTTTCTAAATAATTCATGGAGAAGAACCTATCTGATACTTCTTCCTCCTCCCGTTTCCCCCACAACAATCCTGTGAGGTAGATTAAAGAGTGACTGGCTCAGAATCACCCTGCCGGCTTTCATATCCAAGGCGGGGCTAGAACTCACCATCCCTTGGTGATTAGCCCAAAGTCACCAAGCCTGCTCTCATTCCTAAGGCAGAACTAGAACTCACCATCTCCTGGTGATTGGGCCAAAGTCACCTAGCCAGCTTTCAGGCCTAAGGCAGGCCTAATCTCCCATTTTCTTGAGCCGTGGTGATGCAGTGGTTCAAATGCAGTACTGCAGGGCTACTTCTGCTGACTGCCGGCTGCCAGCCGTTTGGCAGTTCAATTCTCACCCACTCAAGGTTGACTCAGCCTTCTGAGGTGGGTAAAATGAGGAGCCGGGTTGTTGGGGGCCAATAGGCTGATTTTGTAAACCGCTTAGAGAAGGCCGTAAATCACTGTAAAGGAGTATATCAGTCTTAAGTGCTGTTGCTCTTCTAGCCCAGGTGCCTTAACCGCTGGACCAAACTGGCTCTTAATATGTTATAATAACTTATGTATTGGGAGTTCAATTCTCAGACTTCTTAACTCATGTAACTTAACAGCGTGGCCGGAGGGGAAATTCAAAGCTATAGGCATCTCTGAAGAGGCAGAGGCCACGTTGTGGGAGACCTTCCCTCTCACCCTCCCGAAATTCCGAATATGGTTCCTTCCCTAAGCTCCCCCCACCCCTTTCTTCAAACCATCTGTTGAGGTAATTCCCCATTAGGTGAATGAGCGCATACAGGGAGACGTATAGAGAGTAGTGTTGGAATAATACACACAGAGCACACAGATACACTGTACAGTAAATGTAGGTTTTTACTTCCAGAAAGGTTTAAGCAAAGTCCAAAATAGGCAGTCCAAAAGTCATTAAATCAATCAGTTTTCAATCCAGGGATAATCCAAATATCAAAGTTCAGTGTCACAAAACAGTTCAGTAACAGACTTATATTAAATCCAGTAATATCAGTCAATTAGGAAAAATGGAGGAACGGCAATACTTTCCAGCAGAAGGAAACAGAGATACTCACTCAGACACACTCTCTTCTGAGACTAAGACTAAGACTAAAACAACCCAGGTTTCTGGCTCCATCTTATGGCGGTTTGAGTAACCACACCCAATTGCAGTTTTTAGCATGCTCTTAAAGAGACAGTATTAAAATGTCTATCCTGGTTTATATATTTCTAACCCAAATATCTGTTAGGTCAGTGGCCCCCAACCTTTTTTGTGCCACGGCCCGGTACCGGCATCACAAAATGATCCACGGCCCGGTACCAGCATCAGCACGCATGACAAGGCAAGGCGAGCCGAGCGACCGGCCAGCCAGCCGTCCCCCGCTTCTCCCCGCCACCTTCAACTCTTCCTTTGTACCTTTGTCGATGGGCTTCGCTTCGGGACGGTCGCTCGGCTCACCTTGCCTTGGGTGCTGAAAGAATCCTCACGCCTTAGTTTCGTTCGAAGCCCCCCCCCCTTCGATGAAACTAAGGCGCGAGGATTCTTTCAGTACCCAAACGCCGCTTTCCAACTGGAAAAGCTCACCCGGAAGCACTTTCTCGTCAAACAAGATGGCGGCGCCCAGCAAACCGGTGGCCCGGTAGGAAATGTTCCATGGACCGGTACTGGTCCGCGGCCCGGTGGTTGGGGACCCCTGTGTTAGGTGACTTATATTCCTAACACCATCCCACCAGGCTCAAGGTTGACTCAGCCTTCCATCCTTCCGAGGTCGGTAAAATGAGGACCCAGATTGGAGGCAAATAGAGGGGGCTATAAAGCACTATGAAGTGGTATATAGGTCTAAGTGCTTTTGCTATTGCTTTATATGTGTTTGTATATGTGTGCGTCTGTGTAATGTGTGTATGTGTGTATGTATGTATACGTGTGTGCATATGGAATAGCTTCTCCTGCTTGAGCAGGGGGTTGGACTAGAAGACCTCCAAGGTCCCTTCCAGTTTCTATTCCATTCCATTTCATCTGGTTCACCATCCCTTTTGGTCTTGCAGAACTGGCTGACCGAAAGCGCCTGGCTGATTTCCAAGACGGGCCAGACGGTGGAGTGGGTGACCCCGCTAGGGCTGCCCATCATTCAGCCTTACCATAACAAGAAATCCATGTCGGTAAGTCCCTCAAGGATCCTTCGTTTCTGTCACTCAAAGCTCAGAACCAGCCTGTTCTATTCTCCTCCTCCTCCTCATCTATCTCACTTCTCTTCCCCTCTCTCTCTGCTCATTCCTTCTTTTTCCTGCTCCTTCCCTCCCTTCCGCCTCCTCTTGCGTGCCACTTTTCTTCTTCCCCTCCTCCTTTCCTTTTCCTTCTCCCTCCCTCCCACCCATCCTTCTTTTCTTCTCCTTCTCCTTTACCTTACTTTCCTTCCTCTTCCTCTGCTCCTCCTCCACCCTTCTTTTTCCTTCTCCTCTCTTCTCCTCCTCCATCTCACTTCTCTGCCTCTTCTTCTCCTCCTCTTTCTCCGTCTTTTTTTCCCTCCCCCCTCTCCCCTTTTCCCTCTTTTTCCTCCTCCTCTACCCCTCTTTTTGCTTCTTCTCCTCCTTCTAACACAGGCAGGGAACAGAAAGCTGAGGCCAGATGAAAGGTGGGTGCTGGGGTTTTCTGGGGTGTGGGGGAGCCTTACAGTCAAGAGCACCCCCTGAGTAGCCTCCAACCAAGGGAGGAGGGGGGAAAAGAGTGGTGGCATGACTCAGCATTTTGCAGTGCTGGAAGGTATGAGTCAGCCATTCAGGGGAGAGGATGACTCAGCAGACAAATAGCCAAGGGGGATTTTGCTAGGAGAAGCAAACAGCTGGCTGAATCTTGGGGGGGGGGGGGGGGGGGAGTGGAATTTTGTCTTGCCACATGGGCTTTTGTTTTTTTCATGTATTTATTTTGTTTGGTTTTCTTGTCCACCCTTTCAAACGCACAAACAAGCCCGTACACATTGCATAAGCTCAGCCTCTTCCTACCTATTTCTAAAAAGAAATAATGGTTTGGGGTTGTTGTTTTTAGAAACCAGAGCTGATTAAACAGAGGGCCACTGATTTTATTTGCAATGGTTATCTCTTCCTTCCTTCCCTTGCCCCCCCACCCCCCCAGTCCATTTCTCTGGACCAGTATTTCTCAGCTTTGGCCCCTTTAAGATGTGTGTACTTCAACTCCCAGAATTCCATGCTGGAATTTACACTGTGTTTACATCAGTTGCCCTGAAGAATGGAAGGCCCTTAGGCTCTGGCCTCTCTGAGAGGAGCAGGGAGCAGCCAGCCCCACCTGCTGGTCAGAGGACAGGCAGCTAGACAACACTTTGAGGAATGGACACTCAACTTTCCTTTTTTTCCCCTCTCCCATCCTTCTTCCTCCCATCCTCTTTTGTATCGTGTCCTTAAGATTGCAGAGGAATTGTCTTTGTCATGACCTATCCTTAAATTATATGTGTGTGTATGCGGGGGTTGGACTAGATGACCTACAAGGTCCCTTCCAACTCTGGTTATCTGTTAAAGGTTCTATTGCAAAAGATCATGCAGCTCAGTATCCGGTTTCCCCAAAACTTAACCAAGTGCTTCCAGGTATATCTGTTAAAGAGAGACAGACAGAGAGAGAGAAAGCATTAACCCCGCTCCCTTCTAGCACTGATGATGTTACCTAGTTGGGTAATGAGACGTCTGCAAAAAAAAAACCAACCAAGCTCAAAGAGTACCAAGACTGAATTATGTTTGCCTGTGGTCAAGGCACCATCGCACAGGACATATACAGGAAGGAGAAAGGTTTTGGGGTGGCAAAAAGCTTTCCAAACACGGCCCCTTTGGGAGATCCCAGTGCTTTGTTTTACGCCAAGCCGCCTCAAGTTTGAAACTCTTGTTTTGAGAAGAAGATGGGTCAATTGTTATCGTTTTGGAAGTGTGTTGTGTGTTGTTGTTTTTTAAACTCAAAATGGAGTGTTTCAAACACTTTGGGAATGATGCAGCTCTGCTTCAGTTGTTTCAGACCTCAAAGCAAACTAGGTTTGCACTTGAGACCGATTTTGAAACGTGTTGGCCAGCACATCCCAAAGGCATTTTTCCCAAAAGGTAACTGAACTTTGTTGGGTTTTTTTTCCCCCCTGTTCTTTGGAAACATTTTGCTTCTCATCCAGGAAGCTTCTTCAGTTTTAACTGACTTGTTGCGGAATGCAAGGATTTATATCCTCCTTATATCCTTCCTATTTATAACAATAACAGAGTGGGAAGGGATCCTTGAGGTCTTCTAGTCCATCCCCCTGCTCAGGCAGGAAACCCTATACTATTTCAGGCAAATGGTTGTCCAAACTCTTCTTTAAAACCTCCAGTGTTGGAGCATTCACAACTTTTGGAGGCGAGTTGTTCCACCGATTAATTGGCCTCACTGTCAGAAAATTTCTCCTTAGTTCTAACTTGCTTTTCTCCTTAATTATCTTCCATCCCTTGCTTCTTGTCCTGCCTTCTTGTCAGATGCTTTGGAGAATAGGTTGACCCCCCACTTCTTCGTGAAATAGTGGAACACTGCCATCATGTCACCCCCTGATCCTTCTGTTCATTAGACGAGACACACCCAGTTCCTGCAACCGTTCTTCATATGTTTTAGCCTCCAGCCCCATAAACGTCTTTGTTGCTCTTCTCTGCACTCTTTCTAGAGCCTCAACATCTTTTTTTATACCTTGGTGACCAAACCTGGATGCAAATATTCCAAGTGCGGCCTTGCCAAGGCCTTATAAAGGTGGTTCTAACACTTCATGTGATCTTGATTCTCTCCCTCTGTTAATGCAGCCTAGAAACCAGCATTTACTTCCAATTTCCAGCAGAAGAACACCCCATAATAAACAATGGATTTGCTTAGTGACTACAGCAGTTCCTTAACAATGCTTAACCGCCACAAAACAAGTCATAAAATTGAGTGCTTTCATGGGGTGATCTGCTTAAGAACCATCCCACGACCAAAATTTTACGTACAATTACAGCAGTAAGTCAAGGTTTAACTGTGTAGGGGTGCATCCCGTTAGTTGGCAGGAATTGAACTCGGATTAGGGTAATTGCAGATAAATAATTTGAAAATCACTCTTGATCCTTGGGCTGTTCTCTGTGTTGACTTGCAGGAACACTTCATATCACCAAAATTGCTCTTTTTCTCTCTTCCCATCCAGATAAAAGGTGACTTGCAGAGCCTCCGCTTAAAATCCAACTACAATGTGGACCAGTGAGTATTTCTCTGAACTAAACACTTTTCTTTCAAGTCCAGAGTGGGAAATCTGTAGCCATCCAACTAGAAGCAAACAGGTGGAAACTAATCAAGGAGAGAAACAATCTAGAACTAAGGAGGGATTTCCTGAAAGTTTAGAACAATTAATTGTTGGAACAACTCGCCTCCAGAAGTTGTGAATGCTCCAACATTGGAGGTTTTTAAGAGGAGATTGGACAGCCATTTGTCCGGAATGGTATAGGGTTTCTTGCCTGAGCATAGGGTTGGACTAGAGGATCTCTCATGTCCCTTCCAACTCTGTTATACTGCTAAGGTCCAGTTCTCCTTAATTCCGGCTGGCACAGTCTAGGAGGAACCTCTGGTTATTTGCACCCTCCTCCGACTTAAAAAAGAAAATGCCATTGAACAGATGTGCTTAATGTTTAGTGAGCCTTTCCCCCCCTTCAAATTAATTCAAGCTCTGATTTTGAACTAGCAAATATACATTTTATTTTATTTGTATTAGATTTAGAGCAGTGTGATAGCCTAGTGGTGAAAATTGCTCGCCTCCCACTCGGAAGGTGAGCATTTCTTGATTGATTTATTAGTTTGGTTTGCAAATCCAAAGTGTTTGTTTATTAGATTGGTTTGCAAGTCCAAAATATTTGTTTATTTTCCTGTTCCTTAACTGTCCATCTCTTGGCAGAGGTTGAGCTTTATATGTGAAATCAATTTAGCTTATGTGCTCCCCACCTGGTATCAGATGGGGCACCTGAAAAGTTGCCTCACTTTTCTTTAGCAAGATCGATTGAGTGATTGATTGATTGATTGGATTTGTTTAGCCACCCATCTCAAACCAGTGAGTGATGCAAACAATCATGCATCTTAATAATTTGGGTGCTTCATGATAAAGCATGTGTGCAGCATGGACTTCAATCCCCAGAATTCCCCAACCAGCATGGAATTCTGGGAGTCGAAGTCCCCAAGTCTTAAAGTGGCCAAGTTTGGAGAGCCCTGGGCTAGATTAACAAGATGGATTTGATTGAGATGTTGGTCGCTGCTACAGATGGGCCTAGATTAGGGTGGGTAAGACGGGCCTGGAATTCAAAAGCTTTTCTGCTCTGCCTTACCTACAGGAAGCCAAACGTAAGAAAGCAGAAAAATGCCTTCCCACCCAACTTCATCCATTCTCTGGATTCCAGCCACATGATGTTGACGGCTCTGCATTGTCAAAAGTAAGAAGGCTGACACTGGGAATTTGAAGGGAGGGGGGTTGTCCCCTTTGATGGATACGTGCATTTTTTTTTAAAAAAAAAAATGCCTGTGTACTACAGGTAGTCCTGGACTTACGACCACAGTTGAGCCCAAAATTTCCTTTGCTCAGTGAGACATTAGTTAAGAGAGCTTCACCCCATTTTACGACCTTTCTTGCCACAGTGATTAAGGGAATCGCTGCCGTTGTTTAACTTAGCAACCCGGTTGTTAAGTGAATCTGGTTTCCCCATTGGCTTTGCTTGTCAGAAGGTCACAAAAGGGGAACATATGAGCCCAGGACTGCAACTGTCGTAACAGTGAGCCAGTTAGAGACTTAGACTTAGAATAACTTTATCACTTTGTACCTACATTAATCGGCATTAAAATGAAATTTCGCTGCATGCAGCTCTTGAAGGGTCTCCACCTCTAATATACACTAGATAAACATGACAATAGGTAGGTAGGTAGGTAGGTAGGTAGGTAGATAAATACAAAATTACATATGTACCACATGTATTATATGACACAGAGAAACAACACCATCTAGTTCAGATGTATACATGTACATGGCGAGAGAAACGAATCTTGCGAGTTTGCCAGACGGATGGCCTAGGGCAGTGGTCCCCAACCACCGGGCCCCAGACCGGTACCGGTCCGTGGATCATTTTGTACCGGGCCACTTATTTTGCTTGGGCGCCGCCATCTTGTTTCGACGGCGCTTGAGAATGTGCTTCCGGGTGAGCTTGTCGGTCGTCGGTTGGAAAGCGGCGTTTGGGTGCTGAAGGAATCCTCGCGCCTTAGTTTCGTCGAAGGGGGGGGGCGGCTTTGAACGAAGAGCCGTCCCGATGGCGGTGGAGTCTCGCGTTACTCAGGAGGAGATTAAGAAAGACCCCGAAAAGCCCATCGACCGCGAGAAGGTACAAAGGTGGAGTTGAAGGTGGCGGGGAGAAGCGGGGGATGGCTGGCTGGCCGGTCGCTCGGCTCGCCTTGTCTTGGTCGTGCGTGCTGATGCCGGTACCGGTCCATGGATCATTTTGTACCGGTCCGTGGTACAAAAAAGGTTGGGGGCCACTGGCCTAGGGAACAAAGCTGTTACAGAATCTGGCAGCCCTGCTAGGAAGACTTCAAAACCTCCTCCCAGAGGGGAGCAACAGAAACAGACCGTGAAGTGGGTGTGTGGGGTCTCTAATCATTGTCATTTCCTAGGAAAGAAAAATCCTTGGCTCCATAGATTAAGAGAAAAGTACTTTTACTAGGAACAAACGGAAAGCAGACAATTTCAAGCAAGCTATGAGGCAAAACAGCGCAAAGGGCAACAACTTCAAACACAGTAGACAGCCCAACCCCTTTGTAACTAGGCAAGTGCGTACTAGAGCCAACGGGCTTGGCCTTGGAGATAACAGCAGTTGCAAAGCTGCAGTGTCAGCTTCCCCCTATTCTATGGCAGCAAGCCACAGGCTGGCTGGCAGCTTGAGCTCTAACACACAGTGCCTATAAACAGCATCCCGAGTGACAGGAAGTGAGCTTCCTATAATCTTCTTCATTGTCCTCACCACTCTCTGTAGGGGCTTTTCTATTTGAGGCACTGCAGCCACCAAACCAAACGGTGAGGCAGTTTGCTAAAACGCTCTCAGTCGTGCCTCTGTAAAAAGTGGCCAGGCAGAAGGAGAAAGGTGTGCTCTCCTCATCCAACGCAGGGAAATGCAGGCGCTGGTTTGCACGCTTCACTAAGGATGATGTAAGAAGAGACCAAATCAGATTGTTAGTTATCTGCACCCCCAGATACTTAATACTGTTGACCATCTCAACAGCTGCATCCTTGATACTGAGTGGAGTATGACCATGCCGGCTCTTTTTAAAATTTGCCAGTTGCCAAGCATGTGAATTTTGATGATTTTCAGCGCCATTGTCACTTCAAATGGTCACTAAGTGAACTGTTGTAAATTGAGAACTACCTGTATTTATGTAACCGGTCTGTTAGCAACCATTTGAAGTTCCCATGAACTCCAAAAATTAGACTTAGGGTTCCAATATACAGTCCCACTCCCAGGCATGGTCAATATCCAGTGTGTGAGTTTTGATCACGTAACTATAGGGATGCAGTCATAAGTTTGGAACCCAGTCATATGTCACTTTTTTCAGTGCCATTGTAACTTCAAACAGTCACTAAATGAATGATTGTAAGTTGAGGACTGCCTGTAAATTCTGCATGGAGTGTTGTGGGATGGACTAGATGACTTCTGAGTACATTAGAATTCTATATTGTCTCATGAATGGGCCCATTTCCTTCTCTATTATCTTAACTACTGTTCAAATTCCCCCCTTGCCTTGCCTCTTTCTCCTCCCAGTCTGTAAGGGAAGTTGAGGCTTACCCATAACAATTCTGCTTCCAGTTACAAGTAGTCTCAACTTACAACAGTTCATTTAGTGACCGTTTAAATCAAGAGTCTTCAAACTTGGCAAGTTTAAGACTTGTGGACTTCAACTCCCAGAATTCCTGAGCTAACATGACTGGAGGAGGAATTCTGGGAGTTGAAGTCCACAAGTCTTAAAAATTGTCCAGTTTGAAGGCCCCTAGTTTAAATTGACAAGAGCACTGAAGAAAGTGACTTATGACCATTTTTCACACTTACGACCGTTACAGCATCCCCACGATCACATTTGGATGCTTAACAACTGACTCACCTTTATGACGGTCGCAGTGTCCTGGCGTCATGTGACACCCCCACCCCCCTTTTGCGACCTTCTGACAAGGAAAATCAATGAGGTAACCATATTCACTTAACCGTGTTACTAACTTAAACACCTGCAGTGATCCACTTAACAACTATGGCAAGAAAAGCCTTAAAATGGGACAAAACTCACTCAACACATTTCTCACTTAGCCACATAAATTGTGGGCTCAATTGTGGTCATAAGTCGAGGACTAGCTGTGTGTTCTGACACTTCTGAAACATGGGCTGTTGTTTCCTTTCACGTTTACCATCCATATTTTTCTCCCCTTCTAAAAGAAGAATTAAGAGCAGGATTTTGAAGGGGGGAAGAAAGCAATCCTGTATAGTATACACTAGGGGTGTCAAACTCAAGGCCCAGGGGCCGGATCCAGCCCACGGGGTACTTAAATCTGGCCTCCGGGGACTGGAAATATCAAAGGACTAGCCCGCTGCGCCTCTGCCGGCCAAAATGGGCCACGGGGTCTCTGCTTGGCCCGTTTTTGACTGGCAGAGTACTGGGAAAGGGTGGGGAGCAGAGGTGGTATTCAGCAGGTTCTGAACAGTTCTGGAGAACCGGTAGTGGAAATTTTGAGTAGTTCGGAGAACCAGCAAATCCCGCCTCTGACTGGCCCCGCCCCCATCTATTCTCCGCCTCCCGAGTCCCAGCTGATTGGCTGGGTCTTCTTTGGTTGCCCTGCACAGGAGAACGGAGCTGGAAAGCAGGTTAGTGGGGTGGGAAGGGGGATTTTGCAGTATCCTTCCCCTGCCACGCCCACCATGCTACATCCAAAGAACCAGTAGTAAAAAATTTTTGAATCCCACCACTGGTGGGGAGGCCGAAAACTGGCCGCACAGAGGGCCCCACGGGCCCTGCAGAAGAGAATTACAATGCTGTTCTAGCCCTTGAAGAAAACACCCTTGGTATATACAATTCTAGCAAAACAGTAGCCTAAATAGCCATTGCATTTAAACATAGAAAAGAATGCAAGATCCATGACCGGCCTTCAGCAAAACAGTTTGGCTGAAAAACCTGATAAAGGCCCACGTGTGTGTTCAGTAGCAATTCATTTTACTAAGGAATTTCCACGCTTATCACCTTTTACTTTGCCGCTGTCGGTCTGAAGCAACTAGCAAGAGCTAGTTCAGGAAAGTTCGGTTGCCAACTCATCTGCTTCTCTTTGCATTCTGCTTATTTTAAATCATTTAAAAAATAAATAACTTCATACAATTAGAGAGAGAGAGAAAAAAAAAAGATATACAGGTGGCCCTCAACCAGGGGTGGGACTCACATTTTTTAACAACTGGTTCTGTCGGCGTGGCTTAGGTGGTGGGTGTTGGGAATATAAGTCACCTAACAGGTATTTGGGTTGGAAATATATAAACCAGGATAGACATTTTAATACTGTAAGAAAATGGAAAACTGTAATTGGGTGTGGTTTCTCAGACGGCCATAAGATGGAGCCAGAAACCTGGGTTGTTTAGTCTTAGTCTCAGAAGAACTCTCAGTGTGTCTCTGTTTCCTTCTGTTGGAGAGTTTTGCCGTTCCTTTTAATTGACTGATATTCCTGGATTTGATGTAAGTCTGATACTGAACTGTTTTTGACACTGGACTTTGTTATTGGATTATCCCTGGACTGAAAACTGACTGATCTTACCTGTGAATGACTTTGGACTGCTTATTTTGAACTTTGCTTAAACGTTTCTGGAAGTAAAAACCAACATTTACTGTACAGTGTATCTGTGTGCTGTGTGTGTATTATTCAAACACTACTCTCAATATGTCTCCCTGTATGCGCTCATTCTCCTAACGGGGAATTACCTCAACAGTAGGCGGTGGCTTGGTGGTCATGTGACTGGGTGGACATGGCTTGGTCATGTTATTGGCTGGATGTGGCCAACTCAATATCACTCACATCTAGGCACGCATCTCCTTGCCTGGCCTCTCAAGACTGTGGGGATGCTGCAACAGTCATAAGTGTGAAAAATGGTCATAACTCACTTTTTTCAGTGCCATTGTAACTTTGAATGGTCACTCCACACAAGCAAAGTACCAGCAAAGGAGGGGGGGAAAAACTCCAGAGAAGTTCCTGAGACAGGAAGTCCAGTCCTGCCAAGAATGTAAAAAGGGTTAACGGAGAGGTATTTTCTGTAAGCGACACCAGAATGTTTCCTTCCTGCCTTCCTTACAGGATTAGGCCAGTAATTTCTTCTAACAACCGGTGCTCCAAACTGCTTAGAATGTTAACAACCAGTTCTAGAGAATAGGT